CCCCAAAACCCCAAAACCCCAAAACCCCAAAACCCCAAAATTCTAGATTCCTATTGAAATTAAACAAGTTTATTACAGCTTGAAATAGGCGTCCTTCCGAGATTAACTCATTTCTTAGGTATATAGCTAAATCTTGACTTCTTCTTAGCCGAGCCAATAGCTTTGGCCCGGTCATGCCTGTTCATAGTAAACCGGGATTTGTTCTTCACACTTTTATAAGGAGTTTTAGAACAATTTAAAGTCTTCTTCTTTGAAATACACTTTTCTTTGTATGGTGTATCAAATATGGATCATTTCTTTAACGATTCTGCAAGCATGAAAGGGCCTAGGTATAATCATTGAGCCTTACCAGCTGTATTCTCCTTAGAGATTTTACATTTAGACTCGTTTAATTTTCGATAAGACTCACGTAGCCTTTTAGAGAAGCTCTGTGAGATCAATAGTTCCGGAGTCCGGCTATTTAAAGAATTTGTGCATACATTCTTCGAGTTTTCTGTAAGGTTTAGAGTAAACAATTTACTTCTAGAATTGGATGTTGTAGTAAACGGGTTCCGAAGATGCTTCTGAGACACTCTTGAGTTGAAATTCGTTAGCGTAATCCTACAATAATTAGTCTAAGCAACTTACATATCTCCCGAATCATTAGAAACATCTTGCTCGGTTTGGTCTCTAGCTTTGGTTGTTCCTGAGAGATCACTAAAAGTTATCAAGAAAGTTACTTTGATAACCCATTTAACTTATTGTAATATTGATCAAGAGTGAAGTTTTTCAACTTTTTACATTTGCCTTGACCTTCAACAGGGAATTTTCTCAAAGATTTGCTGCTTTTCCTTGGATGGTTAACTATAGATATAAACTCTCCTCATCTCAAATCCAAAAGCCAAGACAACTTACTCAGAGGGGTGCGCTTTTGAGCTATAGGCTCAAATCTGACTGGTGAACTCCTGATAACATCCCCAATATTTTTGATCTCACTGATTCTCTTCGTTGGAGGGGTTGATTCGGAGAGAGTATACTCGTTAAGATACGAATCTGCATCTTGTGGAGATAGGTTTATATCATCCAAAACTGGGTTACTCCCATTGGGCTTGTTGGCAAATCCCTTTTGCGCTACTTTGTCCAATCGGAGCTCGATAGCTTTTCCACTGAGAATTTTCTTCTGCCTTGTCTTAAGATGCTGCTTTTCATGCTTCTTATTACTACAGATAAATTTTAATCAAGATTGGAGCTAGTTCACATATAAAATGCTTGTCTTTTACAATGATAACTCAACTTAGACTGTGAACCAAAATATTAGAGAGGCTCATTTTCTTTAAATAAGCTCTCACAGAGAGATTCTGAGGAATTGTAAGCCAATATATAGCCTAAAATACTAGCTCAGCTTGTGGAGGGTGTCCTACCTGCTATATGTTCAGTTTTTATCACTCGCATTGCGGAATAAAGGTGACTTTCTTTTAACCATTTCTGAATTCCTCCCTTTTACATTATATGAATTTTCTTCAGAATCGTCAGATTCAGTTGGACAATTAACGCTAATATTGGTAATTTGGTGGCTAGGCATCTGAACTTTCTTCCCTATTTTCCTCAAATTGATGCATAATTTATGAGGAATCATGGAATGATACCTTATAGGGTGATTTCGAGGCGTCATGCTCATACTTTTAGTCTTTAGCATCATCCTGTTCCTGGAGTCTTCCACCTGATATTCGTCTTGGAACTGGATTATGTCCCATGACTTTGTCAAGGACTCATTTGATGTGATGTCCCTTCAATTAGCATATCTGTGTTGAAGCGGTTGGATAAACTCCTCTTCAGGGAATTCAAAGGTGTCTGACTCTCTGTCAAATTTAACACAATATTTTTCAAAAATTTTATTTTGTTCCCTACCAGTTTCACTATAAAATTTATGAATTTTCAGAGTCTAAAATTTATAGCTTACTTATTGTCATGTCGTGTGGCAAGCAGGTACTCTCGGCAGGCATTCTTCCTCTTCTTTTTAATTATTCTTGAAATAATGCTGACTGGCATTCTGACCTGGTCAGCTCTTTTCCACTGGTTGTCCATTATATCTCCTAAACACATGAAAAAATATCTTAAAAATTGTATTACAAAGTCGACTCTCATATGGTCGTCTCTTTGCCTGCTATTCTTCATAACACAGCTGGTTCTTGCCAGCATGCGTGCTACGTTATCTCAAAAGTTCCGATGAGCAGCACGATGCAGGGGTGTGTAGCCCCTACTATCCTGCTTGTTCATGTCAATATTGAAGAACTCCAAAATCTCCATTGTCAAGAATAGTTTTATTTATAATCCTATAAATTCCTGGGGTTTTGGGGTTTTGGGGTTTTGGGGTTTTGGGG